TAACCTACAAAGAGGCAGGCGTAGCTTGGGCCCATGCGGGTACCCATGGCTACCCCCTTTGTCTGTAGGAAGTGGGAGGAATTGAAAGAGAAGTTGTTGAGTGTGAGGACGAGTTCGGCTAAGCGGATGAGGGTATCAGTGGAGGGGGACTGGTCGGGCCTGCGGGACAGGAAGAAGCGGAGGGCCTTAAGGCCATCTGCATGGGGAATGCAGGTGTAGAGGGACTGGACGTCCATGGTAAAGATGAGGTGTTGGGGACCGGGGAATTGGAAGTTCTGGAGGAGGTGGAGGGCGTGGGTGGTGTCACGGACATAGGTAGGGAGTTCCTGGACCAAGGGGGAGAAAATGGAGTCGAGATAGTTGGAGATCAGTTCGGTGGGGCAGGAGCAGGCGGAGACAATGGGTCGACCAGGGCATTCAGGTTTGTGGATTTTGGGAAGGAGATAGAAGCGGGCAGTGCGAGGTTGGGGAACGATGAGGTTGGAGGCCGTGGGTGGGAGGTCACCTGAGGTGATGAGGTTGTGGATGGTTTGGGAGATGATGGTTTGGTGCTCAGGGGTGGGGTCTTGATCAAGGGGGCGGTAGGAGGAGGTGTCGGAGAGTTGGCGTCCGGCCTCGGCGATGTAGAGGTCAGTGCGCCACACTACAACTGCACCTCCCTTGTCCGCAGGTTTTATGGTGAGGTTGGGATTGGAGCGGAGGGAGCGGAGGGCTGCATGTTCTGCGGGGGAGAGGTTGGAGTGGGTGAGAGGGGTGGAGAGGTTGATATGATGCTGCTTGGCCTGCTGTGTTCATCCCGCCTTGCACCTTGTTGTCTCGGATTCTCCAGCATCTGCAGTTCCTACTATCTCTGATTTGAGAAAAGAGCAGTTGGATAGACAAAGGAGTGGATAACGATCTGGCTGCGAGGGTCAATAGCGGTTAACCAGCTCTACACTGTGTTAGAGATAGTAGGAACTGCAGATGCTGGAGAATCCGAGACAACAAGGTGCAGGGCTGGATGAACACAGCAGAAATCAGACACACTGTGTTATCTCAGATTCTCCAGCATCTGCAGTTCCTGCTATCTCTGAAACAATTCTTGCTAACATCCTGGCAAATATTTTCAATTTTATTTGACTTGATTAATTATTGTCACATGTAACTAGTTTTTTTTATTATTCATTCACGGGATGAGGGCGTCGCTGCCTAGGCAGCATTTATTGCCCACCGCTAATTGCCCAGAGGGCAGTTAAGAGTCAAGCACATTTGCTGTGGGTGTGGAGTCACATGTAGGCCCAGACCAGGTAAGGATGGCAGTTTCCTTCCCTAAAGGACATGAGTGAACCAGGTGACTTTTGTCCCTCAACAATGGATTCACGGTCACCATTAGACTCTTAATTCCAGATATTTATTGAATTCAAATTCCACAATCTGTCATGGCAGGATTCGAACCCAGGTCCCCAGAACATTGTCTGGGTCTCTGGATTAACAGTCCAGCAATAATACCACTAGGCCTCATCTACAGTGGAGAGTTTTGTTTTGTGAGCAGTATGGCCGGATCATACTGTACATAGATCATAGGGTGATAGAACGGAGCAAGGAATATAAAGTTACTGCTGACTTAGAGTTGAGGTTCACAAGTGTAGAGCGATTGTAAGAAACATGAGAATAAGAACTGCTGTAGAGAGCTTGCAAAGGGTCACCCTGTGTCAGCGCCATCTTGAATCCGTCACAATTTCTTGCACCGTTTCCAGTTTAACATCTTCCTTCCCATGACAGGGTGACCAGAATTGTACGCAACGTTCTCTCCTGTCGAAACCCCCTTCCATAATTTCCGAGGGTCACTTCACTGTTTTCAATGTTGTTTTTCCTCTGTAGGCCCGGGCCCTGACTCAGCGTCGGACAATAACATGGCGGCTCTAAGGAGGAAGAACTTCACACGGCATGCAACCTGGAGCTGGGGGGACGACGCCGACAGCGAGGCCCCAGAAAGCAAGGACACAGAGCAGGATAGGCCCAGGCCTAGGAGTACCGGCTCAGAGACCAGGCCTCGGAGCAACCGCACACTCCCGGCCCACTACCGGGCTTCCTGGCTGGAAGTGAACGAGCAGGGAATGGCGCTGCCGCTGACCAAGTCGCACTCGGAGGCCTCTCTGTTCGCCTGCGACAGCCCACCGCTCCCCTCCATTTCCGAGCTGGACTCGCTGTCCATCAGCAGCGTGGAGGACGAAAGCGATGTGGTCAGCGCGCACCAGAAACAGCAGAAGCACCGCTCGAGCGGCCTGTCCGACAAGGTGCGGTACCGCCTGTCAGCCATGGGCCATGCGTTCACTGGCCTCGTGTCCGCTGATCGTCGAGTCCGTAACAAGATCGAGGAACTGGGCCAGGACAAGGGCTCCTACTTTGGAGGCCTAGTCCAAGGCTTCGTCTCATACACACGGCAAAACCGGGACAAGTACGCCAGTAGTACCGAGATGCTACAGGCCATCTACCACATGATCGCCAGCCTCCGAAACTACCTGAGCCAGAGCTCGGAGCTCACTCCCATCCTGGACCAGGCTGAGCACGAGGAATGTGACATAGGTAACCATGACAACGATGCTGAATCCGGAGCAAGCTTTGTATTTATCAAGGGGAGGCGATGGGCTCGTGGTACTTTCCTTGTTAAAATCAATTCACAGGATGAGGGTGGCTAGGCCAGTATTTATTGCCCCATCCCCAAATGAGGGGAGTTAAGAGTTAACCACTTTGCTGCGGGTCTGGAGTCATATGTAGGCCCAGACCGGGTAAGGCTGGCAGTTTCCTTCCCTAAAGGGCATCTGTGAAACAGATGGGGTTTTCCGACAACCGGCAATGGATTCATAGGGAAGGAAGCTGCCATCCTTATCTGGTCTGGGCCTACATGCGACTCCAGACCCACAGCAATGTGGTTGGCTCTTAACTGTCCTCTGGGCAATTGGGGATGGGCAATAAATGCTGCCTAAAAGCAACGCCCTCTTCCCATGAGCGATTTAAAAAAAACATTGAACCCAGACCAAGCTTTACATTGAATTCATGGACATGACTGGGCAGTCTCCACTAATTTCCCAGAGAAGCAGTTGAGAGTCAGCCATATTGCTGTGGGTCTGGAGTCACATGTAGGCCAGACCAGGTAAGGATGGCAGCTTCCTTCTCTGAAGGACATTAGTGAATTAGATGGGTTTTCCCCCAGCAATTGACACATGGTCATCGTTAGACTCTTCATTCCAGGCTTTTAGTGAATTCAAGTTCCATCATCTGCTGCAGTGGGATTTGTACCCAGGTCTGCAGAACATTAGCGGGGTCTCTGGTTTAATTGTCTAGTGATAATACCACTAGGCCACCACCTCCTGTCCCCATCTCTTGACTCTGCTCGGGCCTCCTCCCGACCTCTCAATCATTGGATGTGGGAAATGCCAGCATTTTGCTGCCTTTCCCTAATTGCCCCTTGATCTGAATGGCTTTGCTGGGCCATTTCAGGTCAACCACATTGTTGTGGGTCTGGACTCACTTGTAGAGCCAGATCGGGTAAGGGTGACTCTTCTGTAAGTGAAATAGGTGCTACACAAATGCAAGGCTTTCTCTCTTGGTCCGTCTGCAGCTGGAAAGGGTGTGTTCTGCCCAGCTTAGTGGCAAAATGATTGATTTTCATGGGACGTGGTTAGCGAGAAAGAGCGATTTCAATTTTTGCACATTTTTTTGACTGCTTCTTTTTTTGGGAAATCACGTGACTGCTTAAAAAAAAGGTGCGTGGTTCTATATTTACCCGAGCTGGGGGGAGGGGGTCTGTGTGACTGGCTGGAGTCTTACGCAGTCACCTAGCCCAGCTACAGAGAAACAGGAGTATGCGGTTTACTTCAAAGAGAAGTCAGTGAATAGAAAGTTTCATCTGGTTCACTCATTCACTTCCTGCTCGTGAGAGCTGAAAGGCAAAAAACTTGAACGCTGAACGTACGGTTTAATAAGAACCTGCAGGCCTCCAGACTCAATATCGAGTTCAATAATTTTAGAGCCTAAACTCCCCCATGGCCTAGTCCCCTACCCCACACACACGGCCTTGTTATCCGCATAGCCCACCATTACACACTACCTAAAGTTTGCCACCTTAATGCTCCCTGGCCAACATCTCTGTCTCCGGCTTGCTGCAGTGTTCCAGCAAAGCCCAACGCAAGCTGGAGGAACATGCATTTTCCGCTTGGGGACCCTGCAGCCCTCCAGACTCAATATTGAGTTCAATAATTTTAGGGCCTAAAATCTCCCATGTCCAGGCCCCCCATCCCACACACCAGGCCTTGTTACCACATAGCCTGCCATTACACACCCCCTGTTGTTAGTCACTAACAGTCCCCATTAACAGCTATTCACCCTCCCACCCTGATCGTTAGCAACTCCTTTGTCTGTCCAACTGTCTTTCTCTCTCTTTGGGCTCTATCATATCATTTACTCCCTACCCCACCCACCTCCCTATTTTCTGCATATAAACTGACGTTTTCCCAGCCACCAGCAGTTCTGAAGCAGGGTCACCGGACCCGAAACATTAACTCTGATTTTTTCTTCACAGACCTGCTGAGCTTTTCCAACGACTTCTGTTTTTGTTCCAGTTTAGCAAGAATGTGGTCTCCAGGAAATCCTTTATTCATTCACGGGATGAGGGAGTCGCTGGCCAGGCAGCATTTATTGTCCCATCCCTTACTGCCCAGAGGGCAGTTCAGAGTCAACCACATTGCTGTGTGTCTGGAATCACATGTAGGCCAGACCAGGTAAGGATGGCAGTTTCCTTCCCTAAAGGGCATTAGTGAACCAGATGGGTTTTCCCAACAATCGACAATAGATTCACTATTCCAGATTTTTTAAATTGAATTCAAATTCCATCATCTGCCGTAGCAGGATTCGAAACCCGGACCCCAGAATGTTATCTGGGTCTCTGGATTAACAATCCAACAATAATCCCACTAGGCCATCGCCTCCCCCAAATTAATCCCCTGACTCCTCTGACAATAGAGAACCCCATAAGAGAGGAATGGGAAAAATGACAGTGGAATCAGAATCAGTCTCAGAATAAATGGGGACCAACTTAAAACTGAGATAGAGTCATACAGGACAGAAACAGACCCGTTGGTCCAACTAGTCCATGCAGATCAAACTAAACTACTCCCACCTGCCTGCCCCTGGCCCATATCCCTCCAAACGTTTCCTATTCGTGTACTTATTGTTTTGTGAAGGGTAGGTCGTGCCTCACAAACCTTATTGAGTTCTTTGAGAAGGTGACCAAACAGGTGGATGAGGGTAAAGCAGTTGATGTGGTGTATATGGATTTCAGTAAAGCATTTGATAAGGTTCCCCACGGTAGGCTATTGCAGAAAATACGGAGGCATGGGATTGAGGGTGATTTAGCGGTTTAGATCAGAAATTGGCTAGCTGTAAGAAGACAGAGGGTGGTGGTTGATGGGAAATGTTCATCCTGGAGTTCAGTTACTAGTGGTGTACCTCAAGGATCTGTTTTGGGGCCACTGCTGTTTGTCATTTTTATAAATGACCTGGATGAGGGCGTAGAAGGATGGGTTAGTAAATTTGCGGATGACACCAAAGTCGGTGGAGTTGTGGATAGTGCAGAAGGATGTTGTAGGTTACAGAGGGACATAGATAAGCTGCAGAGCTGGGCTGAGAGGTGGCAAATGGAGTTTAATGCGGAAAAGTGTGAGGTGATTCACTTTGGAAGGAGTAACAGGAATACAGAGTACTGGGCTAATGGTAAGATTCTTGGTAGTGTGGATGAGCAGAGGGATCTCGGTGTCCATGTACATAGATCCCTGAAAGTTGCCACCCAGGTTGATAGCGTTGTTAAGAAGGCGTACGGTATGTTAGGTTTTATTGGTAGAGGGACTGAGTTTCGGAGCCATGAGGTCATGTTGCAGCTGTACAAAACTCTGGTGCAGCCGCACTTGGAGTATTGCGTACAGTTCTGGTCACCGCATTATAGGAAGGATGTGGAAGCATTGGAAAGGGTGCAGAGGAGATTTACCAGGATGTTGCCTGGTATGGAGGGAAGGTCTTATGAGGAAAGGCTGAGGGACTTGAGGCTGTTTTCATTAGAGAGAAGAAGGTTAAGAGGTGACTTAATAGAGACATACAAGATGATCAGAGGATTAGATAGGGTGGACAGTGGGAGCCTTTTTCCTCGGATGGTGATGGCTAGCACGAGGGGACATAGCTTTAAATTGAGGGGTGATAGATATAGGACAGATGTCAGAGGTAGGTTCTTTACTCAGAGTAGTAAGGGTGTGGAATGCCCTGCCTGCAACAGTAGTAGACTCGCCAACTTTAAGGGCATTTAAATGGTCATTGGATAAACATATGGATGATAATGGAATAGTGTAGGTTAGATGGGCTTCAGATTGGTTTCACAGGTCGGTGCAACATCGAGGGCCGAAGGGCCTGTACTGCGCTGTAATGTTCTATGTTCTATGTTCTATCCAAATGTCTTTTAAATGTTGAAAGTGTACCTGCATCCAACACTTCCTCTGGAAGTTCATTCCACACACGAACCACTCTGTGTAAAAAAAAAAGTTGCCTCTCATGTCCCTTCTCCACTTCCCTTAAAAAAATGCCCCCTTGTTTTGAACTCCCCCACCCTAGGGAAAAGACCCTCACTATTCACCTCATCTACGCCCCTCATAATTCTTCTCTCAGCGGGTTGTAAGGCTTTGGAACTCCTTGCCACAGAGAGTGGGGGCAGAGTCCTTGTGTATGTTTAAGGCTGAGACAGATTCGATATCAGATTAAGGGTTACAGGGAAAGTGGGTGTGAGGAATGTAGGACCAGCCATTGAATGGTGAAGCAGGCTTGAGGGGCCGAATGGCCTACTCCTGCTCCTATTCCTTTTCGGTTTTTTAGAAAAATAACTTCTCAATTTCCCAGAAAACTCACACTTAACTGCATTCTGAAAGTATTGGGGATGTTGGGGGAGAGGGCACAGATGGGCATTTGAGATCACAAGGTGACATTGGCAACACCTCCAGAGACACGTCGAGCTAGAGTTGGCAACTTAAAATTGATCCCCGCGCTCTCCAATAGCCCAGGAGGCGTGGCTCAGTTGTGGCATTTGACTCCAGAGGGCAAGGAAACAGGCAGCAGTTCGGCAAACCATCAAAACCTTATTTATGTTCCTTTCAGGGATAGAAGAAATAGGCCACTCAGCCCCTTGAGCCCGCTCCCCCATTCAGAGGCCCGGCTAATGCCCTGGGGACAGGGGTTCGATTCCAAAAGAGCAGCTGGTGGAACTTAAATGAAACGAATAGGAAGCTAATCTCAGTAGTGGCGTGGGCATCAGACTGTCACCAAAACCCATCTGGTCATCAATGCCCTTGAGGGAGGGAAATCTGCCACCCTTACCCAGTCTGGCCTACACGTGACTCCAGGGCCCCAGCCCTCCGAAATGGTCAAGCAGTTCCAAAAGGCCATTAGGGACGGGCATGAAATGTCAGGGATGCCTAGCTAACTTTAATTCGGTGTTTAATTACTCAAGGGAACGGTCTCAACTTTACTGGGAAATGTTGAGTTTGAACCATCAATGCTGATTTCCATGTCCATAGTTCAGTTGTGGGTGGTATTGGCTTCTGGCTCCTGACTGCCATCCAGTGGCAGGCCTATGGGTGGCACGGTGGCTCAGTGGTTAACACGGCTGCCTCACGGCGCCAGGGATCCGGGTTCTATCCCAGCCTCGGGCGACTGTCTGAGAGTGGGGAGCCTGTGGAATTCTCTGCCACAGCAAGTGAATGCGGCCAAAACACTGAATGTGTTCCAGAAGGCATTAGATAAAAGTTCTCATGGCTAAAGTGACCAAAGGGAATGGGGGGAGAAAGCAGCAACAGAAGACTGAGTTGGATGATCATCTGCCATCAAAGTGAATAGGAAAGCAGGCTCGAAAGGCCTATTCCTGCTCCTATTTTCTTTGATTCCACGATAGATTTCTGGATACGCATGGCGTCAATGGACATGAGGTAGCATGGGAAAGTGGCGTTGACGTGGATAGTCTAGAATTGAGGGGTTGAATGGCCTGCATTAGGGTCAGGGCTCCCATTTGGGTGGGGAGTTGTGGGCCTTAAAGGAGTACTGTTGGAGATTGACCATGTGTGTGTGTGTATGTGTGTGTGTGTGTGTGTGTCTGTGTGTGTATGTGTGTGTGTGTGTGTGTGTCTGTGTGTGTGTGTGTGTGTGTGTGTGTGTGTGTGTGTGTGTGTGTGTGTCTGTGTGTGTGTGTGTGTGTGTGTGTGTGTGTGTGTGTGTGTGTCTGTCTGTGTGTGTGTGTGTGTGTGTGTGTGTGTGTCTCTTCCAGACGCCTCCATTGAAAAGGCTTTGCAGAAGTGCATTCTGAAGCCCCTGAGGGACCACATTTACTCCTGCCTCCTGGACTTCCACACCAAGGACGGCTCCCTGAAGAAGCTCAGGGACAAGCAGCTGGTGCTGCAGAACCAGAGCCTGGCCGAGCTGGGTGTGTCGGCCCGTGTGCCTGACGCCGCGAGCCTGGAGAAAATCCAGCAGAGGTTCAACACCATGCACACGCTCTACTCTCCCTGGAAGAAGGTCATGCAACTTCTGAAGGCCTGCAAGCTCATCTACGAAGCCATGTCTGGGTCATCAGGTAAGTCGGGAAGACAAAGTAGGCCATTCAGCCCATCAAGCCTGCTCCTGCATTCAATGAGATCGCCATGATGTGGAGGTGCTGATATTGGACAAGGTCGGGTTATAGCCCAACAGGTTTACTTGAAATCACAAGCTTCTCCCCTTTGTCACCTTCAGCGCTCCGAAAGCTTGCGATTTCAAATAAACCTGTTGGACTATAACCTGGTGCTGCATCACCTCCGACAATGAAATCGTGGCTGATCTGTGGCCTTTCTGAGTTAGAAAGTGGGACAGTCTCATCGTGAGTCTATGAAGGACAAATAACGTGTTACAACCTTGAGGGTGTCGCTCGCAGAGTCGATAAAGGGGAACCAGTAGATGTGGTGTATTCAGATTTTCGGCAGGTTTTCGATAAAGACCCCTCTCAGGAAAGTAGGAAACATTGAAGTACACGGGAATGGGGGATCTATAAGCATGGATAGGGAATTACAGGATTTCTTCAAAAGGGTAGCGACCCTGTGGAATTCTCTCGCACAGAAAGTCAAATATATTCAAGAAAGACATTGATAAATGCTTAAAGGTATCAAGGGGTATAGGGAGAAAACAAGAATGGAATTGAGATAGAGGGTCAGCTCATGAGCGTATTTAATGGTGGAGCAGGTTTGAAAGCCGACTCCTACTTCCTGTATTTGTACTCGGAGCCCCCACCTGATACATTTCTGTAGTTTATGGAATCTGTTGCGGTCTCGTGATCTCACCTCGCCTGTCGTGTAACGTCACCTCCACCTACCACCACCCACCCCCCACCCACCAACCCCGTTTCACCATTCCAGGGAAGCCCTACGGAGCCGACGACTTTCTACCAGTTCTGACCTACGTCCTGACCAGCAGCAACTTGACCAATCTCTCGCTCGACGTGGAATACATGATGGAGCTCCTTGACCAGACCCAGCTCCACGGTGAAGGTGAGGCATCGCGAGCGTGTCTCCGAGAGGAAAGCAAGACGGGTTTCCCGTGTCAGAACGTGCTCCCTCGCCTTAAAGTTAAGTCCGCGACGGGCCTCCGAAACCCAAAACTTCTCCCCTTCCAAAATCCCAGGGTGCAGCAGGTTGGCAGGACAAGCATCATGGACACCCACTAACATTACTAACTCTCACCGTGTGTTCACCACCAGCTCTTTCTCCCCTCCTTTCTCGTTCTCTCCTTCCACAGACTCATAACAGGACAGAAACAGGCCATTCGGTCCAACTAGTTCCTGCTGACCCCGTTTCCCAAACTGAACTAGTCCCATGTGGCCCATATCCCTCTAAACCTTCCCTATCCATGTACCTGTCCAAAGGTCTTTTACATGTTGTAACTGTAACCTGCACCTACCACCTCCTCTCGCAGTTCATTCCACACACAAACCCACTGTCTGTGCGAAAAAGACCCCCCCATCAGGTCCCTTCTAAATCCTTCCCCTCTCACCTCTCACTGGGAAAGGCCATAAATTTTGTGCGAAACAATAGTGTGAGTTGGATCTCTCTGTTTGTGCGGGAATAGATTTGTGGAATTCGAAGGCTGACGAATTTATAATCGATACAGTATGTGTGGGCTGATATGTAGAATTAGAGGAAACTTATCGATTAAACTTTGGGCCTTTTGGCCTAGAATTCCAGGATGTTTAGGCCTTAAATTTGACCTGTGTGGGGTCTAAGCACCAGCGCCGAGTTGGTGGACCAATGGCCTCTTCTTGCCCCACAGATACAACGTAATTCTGTCCATTTAAGATCCGATTCAAACCCAGAAATAGCTAAAATAGATTTTTAATCAAACAGGCCGAGAAAAGATAGGAAGGGTGGGGTTGAGGCCTGCAATACAGCCAGGCCTGGAATCGAAAGTTCAGCCTGACCAACTGAACCACCTCCTTCGCGTAAACACTTTGTCTCCTTGTTTCTCCCTTTCTCCAGGTGGATACTACTTAACGACGATGTTTGGTGCACTTTACCACATCAGCAACTTCCAGCCCCGGCAACTCATCCGACAGATGAGCGATGATGCTAAGTCATCGATACGCCAATGGAGGACAAGAAGGACGATACACCATAACCAATCAAGAAGACGCTCAGCACAGGTTGACAAAACCGGGAAATATCGCCAACAGAATTGGGGTGGGGGGGCGATGGTGGGCATGATTGGGATTGGGGAGGTGCATTTACAACACCAACAACTTACATTTATGTAGAAACATGGGACGGAGGAGCCCCTTGGCCCCATGGGCCTACTCCACCAATCAATAGCATCATTGGTGACCTGATAGAGGTTTGTAGGGTGAATATCCATGGTCTTTTCCCCAGGGTGGGGGGGGCTTCAAAACTAGAGGGGCGCAGGTTTAAGGTGAGAGGGGAAAGATTTAAAAGGGGGCGTAACTTTTTCACACAGAGGGTGGTGCGTGTATGCAATGAGCTGCCGGAGGAAGTGGTGGAGGTTGGTACAGTTACAACATTTACAAGGCATCTGGATCGGTACATGAATGGGAAGGGTTTAGAAGAAACATCAGCTTTCCTGCTGCTCTGATGCTGCTTGGCCTGCTGTGTTCATGCAGCTCTACACCTTGTTATTTCAGGGTTCAGAAGGATATGGGCCAAATGCTGGCAAATGGGACTGGATTAACTTGGGATATCTGGTCACCATGGACTGAAGGGTCTGTTTCCATGCAGTACAGCTCTATGACTCTGACTCTAAGAGGGTATAATTTGAAGGTGAAAGGGGAAAGATTTAAAAGGGACCTGAAGGGCAATCTTTTCATGCAGAGGGTGGTGCATGTATGGAACAAGCTGCCAGAGGAAGTAGTGGAGATGGGTACAAGTACAACATTTAAAAACATTGGGTATATGAATAAGAAGGGATATATGTCAAACACAGGCGAATGGGACTAATTCACATTAGGATGGATGAATTGGGCCAAAGGGTCTGTTTCCATGCTGTGTGGTTCTATGGTCAGGGTCTCTGCTCCACTTTCCAGCCCCTGTAAACCTTTGATTTCTTTGTCCATCAAAAATCTAACTTGGCGTTGAATAAATCTAAAGACTTGGCATCCACTACCTCCTGGGGAAGAGAATTCCACACTGTTAATCAACGTTTTGAGAGAAATAAGTTGTTACCACCTCTGTCGTAAAAAGGGAGACCTCTTATTCTTAAGCTGGGTGCCTTGGCTTCAGTGTCCCCCATAAGGAGAAATATTGCCCCTAAACCCATCCTTCCCAATCTTCGCTGGATCACTATGTCTCATTAAGATCACTCCTCACTCCTCCAAACTCCAATCATGCATGTTACCCTTTTAATGTAATGAAACATCCCAAAGTGCTTCAGACAAACATTGTAAAACATAGAAACAGGATCCTTTGAGTCTGCTCCACCATTCAATATGATCATGACTGATCCTCTATCTCAACGTCACTTTCTCCCCATACTCCTGATGCCTTTACAAACTAAACATTTATCAATCTCTTATTCAATGACTTGGCCTCCACACTTTTCTATGGTTGAGAATTCCACAGATTCACCTACCCTTTGAAGAAATTTCTCCTCATCTCAGTCCTAAATGATCTACCCTGAATCCTGAGATAATGTCCTAGAAACAAAATATGATAGCGAACACATAAGGAGATATTAGATCAAATGCCAAAAACGTTGTCAAAGAGATTGTTTTAAGGAGGAAAGAGAGGCAAAGAAACAAAGAGATTTAGGGAGGGAATTCCAGAGTTTATGGTCTAGGCATCCAGTGATTAGCATAGTTTGGTACGGCAACTATTCTGCTCAGGATTGTAAGAAAGTACAGAGAGTTGTGAACACAACAATGCAAGACAACCATTGACTCCACATACACTACTCACTGCCTCAGAAAGGCAGCTAACATCATCAAAGACCCTTCCCATTTGTTATAATCTTTTCCAACCTCTTCCTTCAGGCAGAAGATACAAAAGCTTAAACATATGTACCACCAGATTCAAGAACAGCTTCTTCCCCGCTGTTATTAGACTTCTGAAGGGACCTCTCAAACTTTAAATTTAATGTTGATATCGCCCTTTGTGCATGCACCTTCTCTGCAGCCGTACCATTGTATTCCTTGCCCTGTTCTATTACCCTAATGCACTTCGCATGGTATGATCTGCCTGTACAGCACGCAAAACAAAAGTTTTCACTGTATCTAGGTACATGTGATGTAATAAATCAAATCAAGTCAGAGTAGTTAAAATTAAGGATGCATAAAAGACCAGAAAGAGAGGAGCACAGAGATATCAGACCATTAAATTGCCTTGGAGTTTTTTGATGTCCCTATGCGCACTGAGCTACCCCTGCTCCGAGCAACACCATGATTTTAAAATTCTTAACTTTTAGGTTCGAGTCCCTCCCTGGCTTTCAGCCCCTTCCCAGCTCTGAAACCTACTCCAGTGTGGGGAGGCAATAGGCTATGGGTATTATTGCTAGCCGATTAATCCAGAGACCCAGATAACATTCTGGGGACATGGGTTCGAATCCTGCCGTGGCAGATGGTGGAATTTGAATTCAATGATAATCTAAAAATAAGGGTTTAATGATGACTAAGAAACCATTGTCAATTGTTGGGGGGAAATACCCATCTGGTCCACTTCAGGGAACAAAACTGCCGTCCTTACCTGGTCTGGGCCTACATGTGACTCCAGACCCACAGCAATGTGGTTGACTCTTAACTGCCCTCTGGGTAATTAGGGATGGGGCAATAAATGCTGCTGGGCCAGCGATACCCAGATACCTTGAACAAATTTAAAAATTCTACAAATTCACCAAATACTCCAAGTTCCTCCAACACCAGCCACTTCCTGATCTTCAATGCCTTCAGCTATAACAGGAGGGCCTAAACCCTGGCATTCCCTTCTTAAATAGACAGCTTGAGGGCTGGTTCCCGTATGGAGAGATTCTGGTGAAAATGTGATAAAGATTCACAGGAATGAGACCAGAAGAGAGTAGATATTATTGGACAGGAAGGTAGAATAGACTGGGATTGACCTGATAGAGGTGTTTATTATGGGGCAGCACGGTGGCTCAGCGGTTAGCACTGCTGCCTCACAGCGCTAGCTACCCGGGTTCGATCCCAGCCTTGGGTGACTGTCTGTGTGGAGTTTGCACATTCTCCCCGTGTCTGGGTGGGTTTCCTCCCGCAGTCCAAAGGTGTGCAGGTTAGGGTGGATTGGCTGTGGGAAATTGCCCCATAGTGTTCAGGGATGTGTAGATTAGGTGGGTTACAGGGAATGGGTCTGGGTGGGATGCTCTGAAGTTTGGTGTCGACTTGTTGGGCCGAAGGGCCTGTTTCCCCACTGTAGGGATTCTATGATCATTACAGTGAAAGGCTTTGATGAAAGGGTCTCAGCTGTGAGTGAGACCAAACCTAGGGGGATATAAAGAAACGATAGCCACTAATCAAGCAAACTGGGGATTTGGCAGAAATATCTTCACCCGAGAATGGTCACTCCCATGGGGATTGGGGTTGTGGTGAATAGTCACAGGGTTATAGAGGTCTACAGCACAGCAAAAGGCCCCTCGGCCCCTCGAGTCTATGCTGGTCACAAATGACAGCCCAACTATTCAAATCCCATTTATCAGTAGGTGGCCAGGGGCCTTGTGTGCTTTGGCATCCCAAGTGCACACCTAAATTCTTAAAGTCATAGAGCCATACAGCATGGAAACATACCTTTCGGTTCAACCAGTCCATGCCAACCATAATCCCAAACTAAGCTAGTCCCACCTGCCTGCACTTGGCTCATATCCCTCCAAACATTTCTTATTCATGTACTTACATCTTTTAACTGTTGTAACTGCACCCACATCCACCACTTCATCTGGAAGTTCATTCCACACACGAACCACTGTCTGTGCAAAAAACTTGGTCTATGTCTTTTTAAAATCTTTCTCCTCTCACCTTAAAAATATGTCCCCTATTCTTGAAATCCCCCACCCTAGGGAAAAGACACTTGCTATTCATCTTATCTATACCCCTTGTGATGTTATAAACCTCTATAAGGACACCCCTCATTCTCCTACACTCCAGTGAAAAAAAGGCCCAGCCCCTCGTTATAACTCAAACCTTAATTCTTCACCGTGTTCAGGGTTTCTGCCTCTACCAGCCTTACAGGAAGTGATTCCCAGATTCCTACCATCCTCTGGGTGAAAAAGTTTTTCCTTGCACCCTTTCCAAATCTCCTGCTCCTTTACCTTAAATGTATGCCCCCTGGTCATTGATCCCTCCAGCAAAGGGGAAACTTCCTTCCTTTCTGCGCTATCTAGACCCCTCACAATTCTGTACATCTCAATCATGTCCCACCTCAGTCTCCTCTGCACCAAGGGGAAGCTGAATGAACTCATACAAGAAGGAGGCTATGTCGATGGAGAAAAGTGGGAGGAGGCTTATGTGGAACATAAAACATCATCCAGGTCCATGGGACAATTCACCTCACTGAGCTTGAGGCAGATCAATCCTGCATTTCTACCCCACTAGCTCAGTCCCATGAACTCGGTGTTTTGCAATGAGTTGATCTTGGGTTTGTCCTTTCTTTGTGAAATGAATTCCAAATGGAAACCACACCAAAACGTCTGAACCAGGCACTTGAAATCCGCAGGGATTAATGGGAACTGGTTGATACATGTGTATAGCTCTAGATTTCCGTTCTGAAGGAGATCCATAACCAAATGGAATTGGATACTTCTGCACATTATGTCAAACAGTCACAGTTATAGAGTCATACAGCATGGAAACAGACCCTTTGGTCCAACCAGTCGATGCCAAACATAATCCCAAACTAAACTAGTCCTACCTGCCTGCTCCTGGCTCTCCAAACCTTTCCTATTCATGTACTTATCCAAATGTCTTTTAAACGTTGTAATTGTACCCACATCCACCACTTCCTCAGGAAGTTCATTCCACTGCGAACACCCTCTGTGTAAAACATTTGCCCCTTGTGTCTTTTTTAAATCTCTCTCCTCTCACCTTAAAAATGTGCCCCCTAGTCTTGAAATCCCCCATCCCAGGGAAAAGACAACTACCATTAACTCTGTTTATACCCCTCACGATTTTATAAACTTCTATAAGGTCAACATCTTTACAACTCAAACCTTTCAGCCTCTCCCCCGTTATTCCAGAAAAGATACTATTCATCCCGAGGTACAGAGAGTCCCTCCCTCAGTCGATGATGGTTTGAACAAACCTGACAGTCAATGTGAACATGGGTAGGATGATGGTGCTAGCTCTCGGTCTCTCTCTCACTCATTCATTGCAATTTCTCCTCTTGCCTTGTAGGATTTGCTCCACATCTCTCTACACGAACCTTGTGGAAACCAGGTGCCTGTCTTAGCCCCGGTGCACATGAGTGTGACGGAGGTGGAGAGGGCGTGTGCTGAGAAGTTTGATGTGCCAGACCCAGAGAACTACCGGCTCTTCGTGGTCAGAGGCGAATCCTACCAGCTGCTGGAGGGGGATACCTGCCCCCAGAAGGTCAAGGAGGAGCTGAAGCAGAAAGGGGAGACTTCGTTCCACTTTGTGTATGGACTCGAGCACAGAAGCAAACTCGCCCAGACTTCATCAGAGGAGGAGCAGCCCATTTCGTGATGGGTCCCACTCGGGGGTGGGGGTGAGTGGGGGCTGAATCCAAAGGGATTCCCTGGGCCGATATGCTTTGGAATTTGAGAGCCGGGGTCACTTGCCGAAGGATGGTCATGCTTTTAAGCCACGGCCGCCTGTTTCTGGGCAGAACTGACAGATCATAGGAAGACAGCAGGAGGCCATTCGGCCCCACCACACCATTCATGTGGCTGATATGTCCCAGGCTCAGTGAAACGCACTGTCTTCCACAAGCCCTTTACGCGGGGAAAAGATTTCTTTTCTCGCCTTCTCATTTATCCCGTGATGGTCCTCAGTCTGTGATCCCCTTTCGACGCTGACTCATCAGCAACTATTCAATATTCAGCGAGTCAAGAACCTTGGAAAACCTCTACGACATCCCACAGCCAAAAATGACTAATGGATAGGATGTGGGCATCACTGGTCGGGCCCATCCCTAATTGCCCCTTGAGAAAGGTGGGGCTGAGCTGCCTTCATGAACCACTGCACTCCAGGTGCTGTAGGAACACCCACACAAATGCTAGTAGGGAGGGAGTTCCAGGATTTTGACCCAGCGATACTGAGGGATTGGCGATATATTTCCAAGTCAGGATGGTGAGTGGCTTGGAGGGGAGTTTGTACAGGGTGGCGACCCCATGCATCTGCTGCCCTCGTCCACCTGAGGTTTGGAAGGTGTTGTCCTGGTGAAAAGAAGTGAAACATTTCAGGTCTTAGTAAAATAGCAACCTCGGGTATTCTGTTATCACTACCCTGAATCTTCCTTATCCAAATATGAATGGGTCTAATATTCTTCCTAAAATGAAATACGCTGATTGGCAGCAATATTCCATCTGTTGGGAATCCAAATCTTGTACAAATCCAATAGAAGGATTAGAATTTTAAAACCAAGGTATAACTGAATCAGGAGTTGTGGTCGGTATGGTATTGAGTGCGGTGAATCTGCCTTTGTATCCCCTAACCATTTAAATACAGCAACAGACTTTTAATTTATTTGGCTGCTGCTGGAGATTCCTTTTGTACCAACTTCGCTTTCTCTCAGGAAGCACCAACCAGAACTAACTTTGTAAGTTTTTATTTACCTCAAAACACTGCTGTAGGCAAACGGAGCTCTGTAGTGATTAAATTGTAAATGGAAATAAAAGTTTTGAATTATATCGTACCACGTCCCGATGTCATTCTGTTTGCACCTGCAACCCTACAAGCACAAACGACCCGAGGAAGTTCGAACCAGCTCCTGATCGGACAGTGAAAGATCAGAGCGGAGAGAAGGCAGGAATATGGAGTCAAGGTCACATTCAGGTCAGTCGTGGTCTTGTTGGATGGTGGAACAGGATCGAGGGACCGACTGGTCTATGCTGACTCCTCCCTCGTACAGTGGTCAGGGGAAAGCCCCTCGATGTAATTTGTCTGGGATCTTCGCTGAAGGAAGACTGATTGCTGACTATAAACTTATTAAAGGTTTGGCATCCTTCCCCTGGTAGGAGCTGACAGGAACACAGTCCCAGAACCTTGCTGAGGACAGGAGAGCTCACCTCTCCAAGGAGCTGCGCTCCGAAAGCTTGTGATTTCAAATAAACCTGCCAGACTATAACCTGGTGTCGTGCAACTTCTAACTTTGTCCATTCCCTCAGTCCAACACCGCACCCCCATGTCATGGCCACAATGTTGAGTTGAATTGAATTGAATTAGCTTTATTGTTGCATGTACACACATGAGTGCAGTGAAAAGTTTACAAGTCGCTACTTATGTGCCGTCTCAGGTAGCTAGGTGCAGATTTGCGAGTACAAATTCTCAGGAAAAAGACTAGAGAATAAAGAAATAACAAGTCCAGCATTACAGAAATTCAAGATCGTCAGAATAAATTAGAAAATGAAAGAGATAAAAGAAAAAGTTCCAGACAGAGACAGTAGGAACTGCTGATGCTGGAGAATCTGAGATAACACAGTGTGGAGCTGGATGAACACAGCAGGCCAAGCAGCATCAGGGGAGCAGGAAGGCTGACGTTTCGGGCCTAGACCCTTCTTCAGAAATGGGGGAGGGGAAGGGGATTCTGAAATAAATGGAGAGAGAGGGGGAGGCGGATGGAAGATGGATAGAGGAGCAGATAGGTGGAGAGGAGACAGACAGGTCAAGGAGGCGGGGATGGAGCCAGTAAAGTTGAGTGTAGGTGGGGAGTTAGGGAGGGGGTTCCAGACAACAGTCTTTCCACCATAACATTATAAGGAGGCATGGGATCGGTGGAAACGTGGCAGATTGGATTCAGAATTGGCCGACCCTTAGAAGACAAAGGGTGGTAGTGGATGGAAAATATTCAACATGGTGCTCAGTTACGAGTGGTGTACCACAAGGATCTGTTCTGGGTCCTCTTCTATTTGTGATTTTTGTAAATGATTTGGATGTAGGAGTGGAAGGGTGGATTAGTAAGTTCGCGGATGGTACGAAGGTGGGTCATGTTGTGGACAGTGCTGAGGGCTGTTCTAGGTTACAAAGGGACATTGATAGGATGCAGAGCTGGGCTGAGAAGTGGCAAATGGAGTTTAAGCCTGAAAAGTGTGAGGTGATTCATTTTGGAAGGACAAACTTGAAAGCAGAATGCAGGGTTAACGGAAAGATTCTTGGCAATGGGGAGGAGCAGAGGGATCTTGGGGTTCACATCCACAGTTCCCTGAAAGCTGCCACCCAGGTGGATAGAGTTGTTAAGAAGGCGTATGGTGTGTTAGCTTTCATTAATAGAGGGATTAAGTTCAAGAGCCGTGAAGTTATGTTCCAGCTATACAAAAGCCTGGTTCAGCCACATCTGGAGTATTGTTTCCAGTTCTGGTCACCTCATTATAGGAAAGATGTGGAAGCGTTAGAAAAGGTGCAGAGGAGATTTACCAGGATGTTGCCTAGAATGGAGGGAAGGTCTTACGAGGAAAGTTGAGAGAGCTAGGGCTTTTCTCTTTAGAATGATGAAGCATGAGAGGTGACTTGATAGAGGTGTATAAAATGATCAGAGGTATAGATAGAGTAGATAGCCAGAGACTTTTTCCTAGGGTGGAGGTAGCTATTATGAGGGGGCATAGTTTTAAAGTGAGTGGAGGTAGATATAGGGGAGACGTCAGAGGTAGATTCTTTACTCAGCGAGTGGTCAGGGCGTGGAATGCATTGCCGGAGAGGGTAGTGGAGTCAGCCTCATTAGGGGCATTTAAGCGGCTATTAGATAGGCAAATGGATGATAGTATAAGGTAGGGGTGGAGGTTAGATAGACCTTAGGCTTAGGGTAAAAATTCGGCACAACATCGTGGGCTGAAGGGCCTGTACTGTGCTGTACAGTTCTATGTTCTACGTAAAGGAAAGAAAAGAACATAAGACAAAGTCCACTCAGTCCATAACATGGCTCTGGGCTTGAGGATCCGATCCGCTGTTGGAATTCTGGGCTGGAATCACCGTGATGCTGAAGAAAAGGCCAAATGGAGTCACTGACTGGAGACCCCCAGACCAGACAATGATGAAAGCAGCCACCGAAGCTGTCTATAGTTCTCCCAGCTGGACCCAGACCAACCATGCTGCCACACTGTGGAGTCCTCAGTGAAAACCCAGACTGGCTGGAAACCCACCCCCATGCCACACAAAGTTACCCCGTTTGCTGCCCACAGGTTAATGCACCTCACCGGGGCATTGCTGGTGTCTACTCTGGAGTTTTTTTTAAAACCACGTCCCTGCTGGGGGTAGACTCTCACCCACAGCCATTGATTGTCCCATCACGGTTTCCCATGTTCGAGACATTGAGAGCTTTTTATCACAGTGCCCTCCAGTCAGAGGGTCAGGCAGACTCCTGGCACAGGCTGTTCTCCAGTACATCATATCCTCGGGCACAGCCACTGTGCATTTTGTGTGTGTGTGTGTGTGTGTGTGTGTGTTTGTGTGCGTGTGTGAGTGTGTGTGTGTGTATGTGTGTGTGCGTGTCTGTGTCTGTGTGTGTGTGTGTGTGTGTCTGTTTGTGTATGTGTGTGTCTGTGTGTGTGTGTGTGAGTGAGTGAGTGTGTGTGTGTGAGTGTGTGTGTGTCTGTGTGTGTGTGTGTGCCCCTCAGACAGGGAGGCTTCCTTGACTTGATTCATGGGCACATGCTTTAGACTGTATGCCTCTAGAAAGGACAGCTTCAAACCAAAAGAAATGTGGATGCTGAAAATCAGAAACGAAAACAGAAGTTCGGAGGAAGGGTCACTCGACCCGAAATGTTAGCTCTTGATTTCTCTCCGCAGATGCTGCCAGACCCTGCTGAGCCTTTCGAGCAATTTCTGTTTTTGTCTTGGTGTCAAATTTTCATCCGCTAACGCTCCAGCAATGCACCACTGCGTTAAACGTGCTACGTAAGTTCAGAATGTGTAAGATTAACGTCAAATGCACCGAGCCAAGATTGCGTCTGGTGATTCAGTACAGAGCTTTTCTAAATGTATTCTCTCACAGGATGTGAGTGTCACTGGCGAGACCAGTGTTTGATGCCCATCTCTAATTGCACTGGAAAGTGCCATTTCAGAGGGCATTCAGAGTCAAGAATTGAGTCAACCATGTTGCTGTGGGTCTGGAATGATGTGTAGGACAGACCGGGTAAAGGCAGGGGATTTCCCTCTCGAACCAGACACATGAGGGTAAGCTCGCTAGTCACATAAAAGAAGATTGCAAGCATTTTTTTTTAAGATCCATAAGAGGCAAGAGTGGACACTAGAAAATGAGGCCGGTGAAGTAGTAATGGGGAACCAAAGAAAAGTGGGACTATGTGTCAGTTTTCACAGGGCAAGATACCAGCGGCACACCAGAACTTCAGGAGAGTCAGGGGGACAGAGGTGAGTGTAGTGACCATCACTAAGGAGAAGGTGCTGGGGAAGCTGAAAGGTCTGAAGGTAGATAAATCACTCAGACAGGATGGACTATACCCCTGAGTTCTGAAGGACGTAGCTGAGGAGATTGTAGAGGCATTGATGATGATCTTTCAGGAATCACTGGAGTCAAGGAGGATCCCTGAAAATGTCTAATGTGACCCCCATGTTTAAGAAGGGAGGGAGGCAGAAGACTGGAAACTATAGGCAGGTTAGCCTGATCTCGGTTGTTGGTAAGATTTTAGACTCCTTTATGAAGGTTGAGACTGCAGATTACTTGGAAATGCACAGTAAAGCAGGGCTTCAGTAAGGGGAGGTCATGCCTGACAAATCTGTTCGAATTCTTTGAGGAACTAATGAACAAGTTAGACAAAGGAGAGCTAGTGGATGTGATATATTTGGATTTCCAGAAGGCCTTTGACAAGGTGCCACACAGGAGGCTGCTAAATAAGAGCCCATGGTATTAGGGGCAAGGTACTGGCATGGATAGAGGATTGGCTGATTGGCAGAAGGCAGAGTGGGGATTAAAGGGGTCTTTTTCAGCTGGAAACCAGTGGAGTTCCACAGTGTTGGGACAACTATTCACATTATACATTAATGATCTGGACGAAGGAACTGGGGGCACTGTTGCTACGTTTTCAGGTGACACAAAGATAGATGGAGGGGCAGGGAGTGCTGAGGAAGCAGGGAAGCTGCAGAAGGACTTTGGACAGATTAGGAGAATGGGTAAAGAGGTGCCAGGTGAATACAATGTAGGTAAGTGTGAGGTCATGCACTTTGGCAGGAAGAATAGAATCTAAATGGGGAAGGACTTCGGAAATCTGAAGCTGAAAGGGACTTAAGGGCGATCGTTCGGGATTCTCTTAACGTTGGTTCAGTTGGCAGATAGTAAGGTAAATGCAATGCAAGCATTCATTTCAAAAGGGCTAGAATACAACAGCAGAGATGTACTGCCAAGGCTGTATAAGGCTCTGGTAAGACCACTTTTGGAATATTGGGAACTTTTCCAGGTCCCATGTCTAAGGAGGGAGGCGCTGGCCTAAGATGGGGTCCAATGGAGGTTTACAACAACGATCCTGGAGATGAAGAGCTTGTCACATGAGGAGCATTTGAGGACTCTGGGTCTGTACCCGAGAAGGATGAGGGGGATTCTCATTGAAACTTATAGAATACTGACAGGCATGGATAGAGTGAACGTGGGGAAGATGAATCCACTAATTGGAGAGTCTAGTACCCAAGGGCACAGCCTCAGAGTGAAAGGACGACCCTTTAAAATGAAGATGAGGAGGAATTTTTTCAGCCAGAGAGTGGGAAAATCATTGCTGCAGAGAGCTGTGGAGGCCAAGTCATTGAGTCCCTTTAAGACAGAGATAGGTAGGTTCATGATTGGTAAGGAGATCAAGGGAGATCAAGGAAAATGGGGTTGAGAAACATATCAGCCATGATCGAAGGTGGAGCAGACTTGATGGGCCAAATGGCCTAATTCTGCTCCTACACCTTATGGTCTGACGTCTGGCTCTGTAATCCAATAGCTCTACTCACTGTGTCCCCGCTTCCTCAGTGATGCAGTGAGCTGTGATGTCCCACCGTACACATGATCCCAGTGGGACCGTTTGTTCTGAAGAAGAGTCATATTAGACCCGAACGCTAACTTGGTTTCTCTCTCCACAGATATTGGACAGACCTGCTGAGTTTCTCCACAAGTTCTGCTTGTGTTTCAGATTGCCAGCATCTACAGTTCTTTATTTTACGTTTGCTTCACAATACAGCACATACAAATCCTTTTCACAATCTCAAAACCAGTTCAAACACTCATACGAGTGAAAGCAGTTCAGCTCTTTTGCTATTTTGTTTTTTTTTCCCCTTTATTAATTTACGGGATGTGGGCATCGCTGGCTGGGCAGCATTTATTGCCCATCCCTAATTGCCCAGAGGGTAGTTCAGAGTCAACCACATTGCTGTGCATCTGGAGTCACATGTAGGTAAGACTAGGTAAGGATGGCAGTTTCCTTCCCTAAAGGACATTAGTGAACCAGACTGGTTTTTACAACAATTGACAATGGGTTCATGGTCTCATTAGATTCTTAATTCCAGATGTGTTTATTGAATTCAAATTCCACCATCTGCCAAGGTGGGATTTGAACCCGGGTCCCCAGAATGTTTTCTGGATCTCTGGATTAACAGTCCAGCGATAATACCACTAGGCAGATAATATCCCCAAGGCTGATCAATTAAAGCACACTTACTGACTGTCCCCACCCTGATGTTTTGGCACCCAAATCTGGACGTGGTTGCTTTATAAAAACCCCCTCACCCTGTTTGTTCAATCAGGGACTCCTTTCATCACTTACCTAGATCCTAAACAACTGTTACTCTCCATTCCTCATGGCCCTATACAATTGAGGCAGGTTCTGTGTTGCCTCCCATTCCACTTGTCCCGAGAGGAGGGCTGGGGTTGGGAGTATTATCGGGAAATAGTGGTCCCAGAGCAAGTGGAACTGCCAGCTATAGGAGAGTCCAACTGCAGAGTGAGCAGACAAGGACAGATGCAGAAGTAGCTGTGATGCCTCCTGTAGTCAAACAGCAATGGCTGATCCCTGCTGGCTGTACAAATGGATCAGCAGGTAGCCCCAAAATCAGGGAGCGAAAATGGAACAAATAAATTTTAGAAAAATGGGACTTTTACATAGGAATTTACAGTAATTACTGTAGCAATGATAACTGAGTTACTCTAGGCCTCATACGGTATTGCTCAATATTTAAACTACATCCGTGCCTTTATTTCACGTTGTATTTTTAAAAAAATTCTGAGCAAGTCTGCCCCGGTTTCTTCAAATTGCAACATTCGCAGTTTCCCTGTTCTCGCCATTTTCCGCAACAGCCCCTCACCCGAACCACAGTCACCGCTTCCTGTTCAAATTGGACCAGCTGGTGGCTGCACGCTGGGGCCTGGAACCCACCCATTACAAGGCAAGGCCACAAGTCTCTGTCTCTCTCCAGCTCCAGAACACTGACACTTTAGACCACCTGCATCATGGCACATATCCCAGTGCCAGCGCTGAGGGAGAGCTGCACCGTCAGCAATGCCAACTTTTAGGTGTGCCATGAAAACTGACACCTCTGCTGGGCATTAAAGCACCCCATGGCACAATCAGAGGTGCGCCCCCCCCCAGGTCCTGGCCAACATTTACCCCTGTCGACAGCACAAAGCATAAACTGCTCATTACTGCAATCCTCTTTGTGCGTGAGCTGGTTACTAACTACATTACATTGGTAATCCCTCACATCAATGTCTGGTTTAAGTTTAAACAGAGCTTGGCAGCAAACTGATGCTTTGTCCCCAACAATGCCTCTATCACTCAGAGATGTACAGCATGGAAACAGGCCCTTTGGCCCAACTCATCCATGCTGACCAGATATCCTGAATTGAAGTAGTCTCATTTGCCAGCATTTGGCCCATATCCCTCTAAACTCTTCCTACTCATAGAGGCATAGAAGCCCTACAGTGTAAGCAGACTATTCAGCCCTTTGAGTCCACAGCGACCCTCCAACGAGCATCCCACTCAGACCACCCTGTTACCATATCCCTGTAATGCTGCATTTTCCACAACTAACTCACCTGGACTACACATCCCTGGGCACTAGGGACAATTTAGCATGGCCAATCCACCCGAACCTGCACATCTTTGGACTGTGGGAGGAAACCCACGCAGACACGGGGAGAACATGCAAACTCCACACAGACAATTGTCCGAGGCTGGAATCGAACCCAGGTCCTTCGCGCTGTGAGGCAGCAGCGCTAACCACTGAGCCACCATGCTGCCCCAAATGTCATATACTTGTCCAAATGCCTTTTAAATGTTGTAATTGTACCAGACTCCATCACTTCTTCTGGCAGCTTGTTCCATACACGCACCACCGTCTGCTTGAAAAAGTTGCCCCTTAGGTCCCTTCTAAGTCTTTCCCTTCTCACCTTAAACCTATGCCCTCTAGTTTGAGACTCCCCAGCCCTTGGAAAAAGACCTTGGCTATTCATCCTACCCATGCCCCTCATGATTTTATAAGCCTTTATAAGATTATTCCTCAGCCTTTGATTCTGCAGGGAAACAAGTCCCAGCCTCTCCTTAAAACTCAAACCCTCCAGTTCTGGCAATATGCTTGTAATTTTTTTTTTTAAACGTTTTCAAGTTTTAACAACATCTTTCTACAGCAGGGAGACCAGAATTGAACACAGTATTCCAAATGTGGCCCTATCAATGTCCTGTACATTCGCAACATGACCTCCCAACTCCTACACTCAATGTCCTGACAAATGAAGACAAGTGTACCAAATGCCTTCTTCATTACCCTGGCTACAGTCAGCACTCTCTTCCCATATAATATAAATTTAAATGGGCATTCCTATGAATGTCCGAGAAAGCACAAGGCAATGCGCTTCAACAAAATGTCTTTTTTTTCAGCAACCATTATACTCCAAAGAAAAAACACATGATTGGCTGCAAATTGATTTGAAAATCCTGGAGGTTATGTAAAGGTGATTTGGAAGTGCAGGATCAATTAACCCATTTAAAAGTTGGGCAGCAGTAGTGTGGTGATAACATAAATTTTTTTTTATACTGAGAAAGTGGCCATTCAGCCCATCAAATCCACACTGACCCTCCAAGTAGGATCCTACCCAGACCCAGACCCCACCCCCTAACCCCTAACCCTGCATTTCCCACGGCTAATCCACCCTAAACTGCACATCTTTGGACTGTGGGAGGAAACCGGAGCACCCGGAGGAAACCCACACAGACACGGGGAGAAAGGTCTAGGCCCAAAACATCAGCTTTCCTGCTTGCCTGATGCTGCTTGGCCTGCTGTGTTCATCCAGTTCTACACCTTGTTATCTCAGATTCTCCAGCATCTGCAGTTCCTACTATCTCTCAGACACGGGGAGAATGTGCAAACTCCACACAGATAGTCACCCGAGGCTGGAACTGAACCCAGGTCCTGAGTGCTGTGAGATAGTGGTCCTAACCACTGAGCCACTAGATTGAAGAAGCAACCCAGTCAATGATCTAAATGAATGGCAGCACAGGCTCAAGTGGCTGAATAACCTCCCATCATCTCTGGCTTTGACTGCATTAACTTAAATGCCATGCACTGACAAAACAGGTAGAGGCACCACGGGGATTCGAACTCATGAACTAATCAAGCACTTATTAAATCACACAGCCTGGTTCTGTGGAAACAATGAAATAACTGCGCCACCTGCTGCTGGGAAGAGGTGGCACAGCTCAGGTTAGAGTATGTTCTATTGGATGGATTCAAGTTGCTATCTCCTGCAGCTCCCAGTTTTCTGTTGAGTGCAGACCCAGGGGCTATCAGTTCAGAACAGCCCAGTTTCAGAGACTTCAGGAATAAGAGGTAACAAGGTGTAGAGCTGGATGAACCCAGCAGGCCAAGCAGCATCAGAGGAGCAGCTGACGTTTCAGGCCTAGACCCTTCTTCAGGAATAAAGCATTTTTAACCCTCGTGCTCCGAAAAATAAGACAAACATTTGTGGATCATTTTTATTTTATTGCAATGTACCCTGAAGAGCCACAGATCTATATTATTTTAAAATTAAACACACTAACATTTACAGCGGAGCAAATATTACTTCTGAAATGTTACAAGGCAAAGGAATGAGTTGCATTTCTGCAGCATCCTGAAATGCTTTGCAGCCAATGAAAGACTTTCCTCAAAATCAATTTGGCCATTGCTGTAGATTGTGGGAAACGCAGGCCTCACAAGCAGCAATGGGATATAATGAATGGATCATCTGATGCTGGTCAAGAGATGAAATATTGGCCTGGGACACCGGGGATGGGGGGTGGCGGGTGTTTTGTTGTGGGTGGGGGGGGCGCCGGGGGGAAGACACCCCTCTTGGGAGGGTGAGATGTTGGATCTTTATGTCTGACAGCAGGGCAAACTACTTTGACATCTCATCTAAACATTAGCTCCTCCGACTGTGCAGCACACCCTCTCTAATGACACTGGGAAGGTCTCTTGTTTTGACACTCGTGCTAGTTTCCAGAGAGATGCTTGCATCCATGAATCAAGCAATGCTGACAGACTCCAAAACTGCCAGGAAACCATCCACGCAGCCACTTCATTCGGAATGATGATGAAGGGGGGCGTTGTTTGAACACTGAAACACTACCCGCAGCACCACTGGAACACAGGAGCCGGTCTGCAAGCTTTCCAGCTAAAATAACCCAGCAGTTGAAATACAAGACGGAAGGATTTGAAATCCATTTTTTTTCACTCAGCAACTTCGAAGACGTCAGTTCCACAATTCCAGGCACCATGGTCAGCGACAGAATCCAGACTTCACAAGGAGTTTGGTGCCCTTTCTCCTGCTAAGCTCCTCCGATCCCAAAAGCTTCTCTCACCGAGAAAACTGCTCCCCAAGCCGATACAAGAAACAAAACTCGCTGCTTTCGTTTCAAAGGGCGGTGTGTCAAGTGGGGTCGAACGGGAGTCAAATCTGAAGTGGTACGTGACTAAGCTGGATATCAGCTGCTCCTTTCGGTGGCTTCCTCTCAATCATACTTGGCGTTTACCTCCATGTCGGATGTCTCCTGTGTTTCCGTCCTGGCATCAGTGAGCTCCGCAGTCGCCGGGCTCGGAGATACGTTCTCCCCCAAAGCTGACGCTCGGGAACGAAGCCTCTGCAAGACCAGGCTGGCTGTCTGGGTTAGACTGTGCTGCAACACACAACCAGAAGGAGACCCCTGTGACGTTTCTGTTTTAAAAAAAGTTATGTCGCTTCGCAGCTCACCTACCAGGGAAGGGTGTTGACCAACTAGGGTTGAAATGGGAGAATAGGCCCCCAGGGAAAGGGAAAAGTCATTCAGGCTCTCAAACCTATCTCACCCACTCCATTGGATCATGGCTGACCTGCAACATGGGGAGATGGTGGAATGTGGTAATGGGGTGGCACGGTGGCTCAGTGGTTAGCACTGCTGCCTTACAGCGCCAGGGACCTGGGTTCAATGCCACCCTCGGACGACTGTGTGTAGTTTGCACATTCTCCCTGTGTCTGTGTGGGTTTCCTCCCACAATCCAAAGATGTGCAGGTTCGGGTGGATTGGCCATGCTAAATTACACCATAGAGTCCAGGGACGTGCAGGCTGGGTGGGTTAGCCATGGGAAATGCAGAGTTACAGGGATGGGATGGGTGGGATGCTCTTCAGAGGGTTGATGTGGACTTGATGGGCCAAATGGCCTGCTTCCACACTGTAATAGGATGAGTATTCCTGAGGCCCCAGGCTAATGCACTGGGGACATTAGTTCGAAACCCAGCACAGGAGCTGATAAAACTGGAACTGAAAGCTAGTGGTGACCCTAGCACTACTGTTGTAGCAAAACCCATCTGGAATAAGGGGTTGCGCATTTAAGACAGAGATGAGGAGGAATTTCTTCTCTCAAAGAGGACTGAATCTATGGAATCTTTACTGCAGAGGGCTGTCGAGGCTGGATCATTGAGTTTCTCAAGGCTGAGATAGAGGCATTTTTAGTCAGTAAGGGAATCAAGGGTTTATGGGGAAAAGGCAAAAAAGTGAAGTTGAGGATTATCAGATCAGCCATGATCTCATTGAATGGCAGAACAGACTCAATGGGCTGCTCCCGTTCCTACGGTCTAGCAGAGTGCAGAGCGCATATTGAATGAACTCCCCTTGTTCCTACGTATCTCCCATTTAAAGATCACAACAGCCATCCAGATTGAGACAGTGAAAGACCTGATCTCATGGAATCACAGAATCCCTACAGTGCAGAAAGAGGCCATTCAGCCCATCGAGTCCACACTGACCTTTCAAAGAGCATTCTACCCAGACCTAGACCCCCATCCTATCTCTGTAACCCTGCATAGCTAACCCACCCAGCCTGCACATCCCTGGGCACTATGGGGCAATTTAGCATGGCCAACCCACCCTAACCTGCACATCTTTGGACTGTGGGAGGAAACCGGAGCATCCGGAGGAAACCCACGCAGACACAGGGAGAACATGCAAACTCCACACAGACAGTCGCCTGAGGGTGGAATCGAACCCGGGTCCCTGGTGCTGTGAGGCGGCAATGCTAACCACTTGAGCCACCATGATCCCCATGAATTTGATGCCCATCCCTCTCATATCCTAGTGCTCCTTGCCTTACCAACTAACGTTTCAAACCAGGGAGCTTTAAAACATGGAAGGAAGCCATTCAGCCCATTAAGCCAGGTTCCACACTTTGCTCAAGCAATCCAAAATGAATCCTAGTGCCTCACTGCAGCTCTATTAGCTCTGTCCCTTTCCTTCCAACATTTATTCAACTTCCCTTCAAATGGTGTAATGGTCCCGGCTCCCCCCGGGACAACGGTGCCCATGTTCCAATACACTTGGGTAAAGTTAACCTCTTTGGTAAGTCGCAGTAACAATCCATAACTCCTTGTTAAAGGCCCCTATACCACAGCAAACTATCATTCCCAAAGTTCTGAGCCCATTGTTCCCTTTCGCAATCCGAGTGACCTCCTCATCTATGACCAAATGAACTTGACCACATTTCTCTCACTCCCAGCGATAAACGCAATTAGAAGAATATAAAAGCTGTGAGCAACTGAGGCCTTTCAGCCCATACTTTCTGTGCTGGAAGAGACCATTTCTATCTCAAATGTTACCTTCATAGAAGGAATCCTTGCAAACATGTTGGTGGGAACGGGAAAGGGAGACCGGGTCCGTTACCTGCAAAATATGCAGCCCCTTCAGGGTCTCGATGGCGAGTTCACAGAGACCATCACACGTTAGGTCGACGTAGGCCATGGAGAGCAGGGGGCTCTGGAAACTTCTTCTCCACAGGAGCCGGAATTCACCTCGGAGACGGGGGGCGAGTCCTGACTCCACGGCCTCTGGGTCAGGGGCCCCACCGGTGCAGGATTTGTAACACAGTAACTCCTGTCAAGAGAAGCAAGCTCAACCTCAGACAAAAGGCAAAACTAACCATAGCCCTTGCTGAGATGGAGGTCTCCAGCAAGCTCTGGCAGGGCCAGGGCTGGTGGGAGTTGCTGGCTAGTCAGAGGGAGAGGGGCCGAGTTCCCACTCTCCATGAGCTTAGGCTGCCCGCAGTGCCTACGGGCAGCAGGGCAAGGACTGGCACCTTTTGGACCAGTCAGCTGACCTCACCCATTCCATCCTGGCAGAAATCGACAACCATCCTAAGAAGGGGCAACAAGGTGCAGGGCTGGATGAACACAGCAGGCCAAGCAGCATCATAGGAGCAAAAAGGCTGACGTTTCGGGCCTAGACCCTTCATCAGAAATGGGGGAGGGGAAGGGGGCTCTGAAACAAATAGGGAGAGAGGTGGAGGCGGATAGAAGATGGATAGAGGAGAGGAAACAAACAGGTCGAAGAGGCGGGGATGGAGCCAGTAAAGGTGAGTGTAGGTGGGGAGTTAGGGAGGGGATAGGTCAGTCCAGGGAGGACGGACAGGTCAAGGGGGCGGGATGAGGTTAGTAGGTAGGAGATGGGGGTGTGGCTTGAGGTGGGAGGAGGGGATAGGTGG